CTTGCTTCTGCAATGGAAGACATGTCATGCAGATTCGGGTGTCATCTGCAAGGAAGACCGTGCTTTTTTGCGGCAGCAAGGGGAAACACCAAAACAGATGGTCTGTGGGCACCGTTGGGGAAGGCTGTGTTGGGCCAGCAAAAGAAAGTCCACCCTGGTGTAAATTTTTGGGACCCATAGCCCTGAAAGTGGAAAAAAAGCTTCAAGGAAGAATTTTTGGATTGTTCCCTTTGAAGCCATTTATAAAATATTATTTCCCCTTTCCCCACCCCATCTTTTCATTTTTTTTCCCAATAAGTTATATTTTATTACATAAAAAAGTTAAAAAAAGATTTACAATGGGTTATTTTAATTTGTTTTTTTATGCCCCCCATACCCACCTGTGGGGGGTTTGTAAAAAGATTCCCCAAAAGGTACAAAATTTGGGGTCCGGGACGGGAAACCCCAAAAGTTTTGGAAACTGAGCAATTACAGATAATGGAATTAAACTTTTTTAACAAAGGAAAAGAACTACAAATTAAAAAGGGGTAATAAACTCCGGGAAAGGTCATTTTCACAACAAAACAAGTTCCCAAAGGTTTTTAAGTTTACAGGGGTACGAATTGGGTCCAGGGCCCGGGCCCCAAATTTTTGAGGGTTGAACTAGGTAAAAGGGTTTTAATAAAACTCAAAAGTTACAAAGGAAAATTAAATACTGGTAAAAATGGTTTTTTTTCGTTTTTAAAAGGGTACAATCATAAAACCAAATTATAGTGTAATGGGGCAATTCACATTTTCCACACCCGGTCAAAACTGTAATAGTTTTGGTGAAAATTTTTGTTTGTTGAGTCACACACCACACACACACCAAAACACCCACAACACACACACACACAAAACCACACACACACACCCCCACACACACACACACACAAAACACTTTACAAATTCATAAAACACACACCCAAAATAAACACACACACACACACATAAAACCACAAACACACACACATACAAAAAAACCATCCCACACACACGCACACACACTTTTTACACACACACACAAACAACACCCACTCATACACACACACACACACACCTACCCCTACACACGCACACAAAAACACACAAAAAACCCCACACACACACACACAACCACACACACCACCGGACGGGAGGCAACAACGAGTAAAGGTACGTAAGATGTATCACGGGGGGGCACCTGTGACGAGGGGGGGTCCCACAGGGGTCGGTCCGGGACCATGCTTTTTTTTGGGTATATGTAAACCGAAAAGACGGAAGGGTTAGACTCAAAAAGGGTGCCCCCTTTTTGCAGATAAAGGAATTTTAATGGGGGAAAAAAAATTTTAAAGGGGAAACCAGGGCAGGACTTCAAAGACCGGGGACAACGGCCAAACCTGGTCCGCAAATGGCTTCTCAATTTTTTCCTCCCAAAATGCAAAAGTCATGAAGATGGGGGAAAGGGGGCCAGAAGCCCCACAGACAGAGTATAGGCTAGGTGGCCAAAGACTGAAAAACCCTAAATAAAGGGGAGAAAGATCTTGGGGGGGAAGTATAACCCGAGCATGTCTCCGGAAGCCCCCATCAATCAAAATAACTGTTTGCAGAAATAGGGGCCCCTTTGGAAAAACCTAAAGAACGCTTTTCGACCCCTTTAAATTTAAGGAATCATTCAAAGCCCCAATTTGGTCCCCTTTCGTGTTAAGCACCTTGGGATAAAGCCCCTTTTTGGCCCCCGGAACGTAAGGGGGGGGGGGGGGGGGGGGGAAATAAAAGGAAATAAAATTTTTTTAAAGGTTTATTTTTTTCCAGAGTTTAAAGGGGAAATGTTTATGAAAAAAGTATTTAAAGGGAAATCGGCCTGACAAACTGGGGGACAGGAGGGTCGGGGGAAGACATGATAAACGACTTTATAAAAAAACTGGTGGAAAAGAAAAGGGGCAAGGACAGGATTTTTCCGGGGAGGGGACACAAAAAACAAGAGGCCAAAATTTGGGAATTGAAGACAAAAAATGAGTCAGAGAGTAGTAGGAAGTATTTCTTCAGTCCCTAGAGTTGTAAGGCATGGAATAGCCAAAAATGACGTAGTGGAAGGGGGAAAAACCCTTTTTAAAATTTTAAACGAGGGTTTTATAAAATCATGGAGCGGGGAGGGGAGGGGGGCCAAATAGCCAAACCGGTGAAGAGGCGGGGCCCGGGGTAGGACTCGCCCCTGCAACCCCAAATAGGTGAGTACAAATTTGGGGGAGTAAAACAACACGCACACACACACCACAGGGAAACCCAAAACGTTTTTAAGACGAGGTTTGATAATGCCAAGGAAACGGGGGAGAGGAGGGCCCAGTAGGGAAACCCGGTTTAAGAGGCGGGGCCAGGGGGTAAGGGCCGACCCCGCCAAAACCCCAAATAGGTGAGTACAAATAGGTGAAATACACACAAACACACACACACAGGAGCTCGGTTTGACCCCCGCAACCTCAAAATAAAGGTTTAGTACACCACAACCACACACAAAAACACACACCTTTTTTAACACACACACACACACAAAACACACCACACAACGGGGGGCGTTGGGAAAAAAGGGAAGACATAAATCACAGGGGTGTTAGGGAAATATTTCTTCAGCCAAAGAGTAATCAGTAAAATGGAAAAAGTTTGGGGAAACGAAGTAGTGTAAGGGAGGATCCATACATAAACTTTAAGCAGAGTTTGATAAAACTCATCTCAAGGGAAAAGGACCCCAGTAGCGATCAGTGAAAAAGGCGGGGGCCAGGAGCTCGGACCGACCCCCGCAACCTCAATAGGTGGGGACACACCCCCACACACACACACACATGCCACATGTGGTAATGCTTTTTTTTACAGCTAGCAAAACAGGGTTTTTTTCCAGAAAAGGGCTGGGAATAAACCACTGCAAAATACCAATTTAAAAATAAAAATTTTTATTTTGTTGCGGGGTGGTGTTGTTGACTTTTGTGATTTAAAGTTTTTAAGAAGCAAACCAGGGGGCAGTGTTGTGAAAGCAACAAGTGTGGGGGCGGCCCTGTGTTTTCTTTCTGCTGCTGTGCCTCACCAACACAAAAATTGGATCTCCTAACCTAACAACCATGAGTAATTTTCAGAAAAAAAGCCCACATCGAGGCGGGGGTTAGTCCCCACTTTTTTTGTTTCACTTGAAATTTTAAATTTAAATAAAATTTTTGTGATATTTGTCTTTAAAACTGCATTGGGGTTTTTTTTAATGAAAAAGTTGGGTTTTTTATAAAAATTTTTTTTAAAATACACCTTCACATAAAACAATTTCAAAACATGGTAATTTTATGTACATTTTTCAGGGGTAACCCCCCCCCCCCCCCCAAAAAAAAGAAGTCAGTGACTTCCATTTTTGGGGTTAAATTTTAAAGGGGGTTCTTGACCCAGGTGAAGGGTTCTTTTATCCAAGGAACTGAACCCCCCTTTTCCCTTTTTCCCTTTGATCGAAAAATTGACTATCTCCCAGTTTCCCCCGTCGCTTTCCCCCATAAAAAATTTATTTTTGCTTCACACCTAATTTGAAAACAAAACCCAAAGGTTATGGGGTATTAAATTTTTATAGACTTTATTTTTAAAAAATCCCGTAAAGTCAGTGTGACTTATTTCCCCCGTGGGTTTTTTGTGTTAAACTTTTTGTCTTTTCATAAATCTTAATATCTAACTTTTTTTTTGGGGTTTTCTAATTTAAATTTTCCAGTGGTGCCCCTTTAATTTTCCAATCCCCATTTTGCAAATAATAAATTTGTCCACCAATGCCTCTAGTATATATATTGCCAGCTGCTAAGGCCCCCAAGGAATGTTCCTTGATGTTGGTGAGGGGCTTTTGATCTAAAGAATTGGATCTGTGCTCCAAGTCCCTGAATTAAGCTTGAATACCTTCCACATCCCCCTCCCCCCCACAGGCACTGCATAATCCTGTGGGTTTAGCACTCTCCCTTGATTATAATAATAATAATAATAATGTCAGCTGATAATCTTAGACCAGCATGTTGTACTGTCATGGATGTTCTTAGCAGCAAACAACATCCAATGTCTTCTCTTATACATTTTGGTATCTAATCTTTTTTATAAGGTGTCTTGACTATCATTACATGGAGTTTACCTGGAGAGAGTTTCGGGGGTCAACGCCCCCGCAGCCCAGTCTGTGACCAGGCCTCCTGGTGGATCAGCGCCTGATCAACCAGGCTGTTGCTGCTGGCTGCACGCAAACCAACGTACGAGCCACAGCCCGGCTGATCAGGAACTGACTTTAGGTGCTTGTCCAGTGCCAGCTTGAAGACTGCCAGGGGTCTGTTGGTAATCCCCCTTATGTGTGCTGGGAGGCAGTTGAACAGTCTCGGGCCCCTGACACTTATTGTATGGTCTCTTAACGTGCTAGTGACACCCCTGCTTTTCATTGGGGGGATGGTGCATCGTCTGCCAAGTCTTTTGCTTTCGTAGTGAGTGATTTTCGTGTGCAAGTTCGGTACTAGTCCCTCTAGGATTTTCCAGGTGTATATAATCATGTATCTCTCCCTCCTGCATTCCAGGGAATACAGGTTTAGAAACCTGAGGTTATGTTTTGGACAGAAGTTGATGTGCTGACATTTTTCCACTATGGTGCAGCTTTTTTGTTTAAAAAAGTGCTAGCTACAAACTGCTAATTAGTGACATTGAAGTGAGAACGTAGGGTAGGTTTAAAAATAGATAAATCAAATACTTAATTGGTAATACACAAATAGCCTGCACATAGGGAAAAGAAACACTGTCCTAATTTTCTTTCTCCTGTATGTGTGGGTTGTTTGTGCATTGTTCCAGTCATGGTATTGTACCTTTTTATTCTTAAGTGGTAATGGTTGTGTGTGTTACCTGTTAAGTGATTTGAGGATTATAGTACCCACAGCCCAGTCTCAGATTAGGCCTTGTGGGTTGAAAGTAGACCCTGTCTATAGGCTTACAGGTCTGAGCTTGTACTGTATTTTCAGGTTCTCTCTATCTTGGAAGAAAAGAGTGCCCAGCAGCAGTGCATGCCAGGCCTCAGCATAATTACTCGAACACAGGCTGTTAAAAATACTGTAGCACATTTCACTTTGCAGTATACAATGATATTCAACTAATAAGTGAATGTTCACTTTTCAGATGGCCCGCACTCAAAAGAACAAAGCCACTATGGGACATTTGGGCTTATTGAAGGCTAAATTGGCAAAACTGAAGCGAGAATTAATTACCCCAAAGGGAGGTGCTAGTGGTGCAGGTGAAGGCTTCGATGTTGCAAAGACTGGAGATGCCCGTATTGGTTTTGTGGGTAGGTATTTTTCAGTATTAAAATTTTAATATTGTAATATTACTTCTTCTTGAGGCATATTTTTTTTTTTTTTTATTGTTAACACACTGGCCGATTCCCACCAAGGCAGGGTGGCCCGAAAAAAGAAAAACTTTCACCATCATTCACTCCATCACTGTCTTGCCAGAAGGGTGCTTTACACTACAGTTTTTAAATTGCAACATTAACACCCCTCCTTCAGAGTGCAGGCACTGTACTTCCCATCTCAAGGACTCGAGTCCGGCCTGCCGGTTTCCCTGAATCCCTTCATAAATGTTACTTTGCTCACACTCCAACAGCATGTCAAGTATTAAAAACCATTTGTCTCCATTCACTCCTATCAAACACGCTCACGCATGCCTGCTGGAAGTCCAAGCCCCTCACACACAAAACCTCCTTTACCCCCTCCCTCCAACCTTTCCTAGGCCAACCCCTACCTCGCCTTCCTTCCACTACAGACTAATACACTCTTGAAGTCATTCTGTTTCGCTCCATTCTCTCTTCATGTCCAAACCACCTCTATCATGTGGGAGTTTGATACGTGGATTAGGGAAGAAATACTCACGTAGGCTGTTATTACTTATAATTGCTGTTATGTGGAGGGAGCCCGCAGCCGTTACCTATCTCCTTGGTTACACTCGTAAAACTGACTAGCCGGCTGGCCAGTACCCCGTAGTGGGTCTTTTGAAATAGTGTCAGCTCAGCACAATATGAAAGACCGTGACTCAAGACGGTTGGTCGTTGAGTCAACGGACAGGTTACTGGTAACTGGTTACTACTACTGAGACCTCAACAACCCTTCCTCAGCCCTCTGGACAAGTTTTGGTAATCCCGCACCTCCTCCTAACTTCCACACTATGAATTCTCTGCGTTATATTCACACCACACATTGCCCTCAGACATGACATCTCCACTGCCTCCAGCCTTCTCCTTGCTGCAACATTCATCACCCATGCTTCACACCCATATAAGAGCGTTGGTAAAACTATACTCTCATACATTCCCCTCTTTGCTTCCGAGGACAAAGTTCTTTGTTTCCACAGACTCCTAAGTGCACCGCTCACCCTTTTCCCCTCATCAATTCTATGATTCACCTCATCTTTCATAGACCCATCCGCTGACACGTCCACTCCCAAATATCTGAATACATTCACCTCCTCTCCAATCTGATATCCAATCTTTCATCACCTAATCTTTTTGTTATCCTCATAACCTTACTCTTTCCTGTATTCACTTTTAATTTTCTTCTTTTGCATACCCTACCAAATTCATCCACCAACCTCTGCAACTTCTCTTCAGAATCTCCCAAGAGCACAGTGTCATCAGCAAAGAGCAACTGTGACAACTCCCACTTTGTGTGATTCTTTATCTTTTAACTCCACGCCTCTTGCCAAGACCCTCGCATTTACCCTCGCATTGTTTACATTCCTTAAATCAGCATTGGAATTCCATTTACGTGTTCATCACAGATTATACACGTACGTACTTCCATTACTACATTGGAAAAAAATGAAGACTGAAGCATACTCTTTGCTTTCTGCTGGGAAAATACCAATACCAGATTCTATTTTTACAATAATTTATACTTTATTAAGTTAATTTATAGGATATATTGCTAATGGGAAGGTGTGGAGTTAATAAAAGTATTAGTCAGAGGGCAGAAGAGGGGTTGTTGAGGTGGTTTGGTCATTTAGAGAGAATGGATCAAAGTAGAACGACATGGAAAGCATATAAATCTATAGGGGAAGGAAGGCGGGGTAGGGGTCGTCCTCGAAAGGGTTGGAGAGGGGGTAAAGGAGGTTTTGTGGGTAAGGGGCTTGGACTTCCAGCAAGCGTGCGTGAGCGTGTTAGATAGGAGTGAATGGAGACGAATGGTACTTGGGACCTGACGATCTGTTGGAGTGTGAGCAGGGTAATATTTAGTGAAGGGATTCAGGGAAACCGGTTATTTTCATATAGTCGGACTTGAGTCCTGGAAATGGGAAGTACAATGCCTGCACTTTAAAGGGGGGTTTGGGGTATTGGCAGTTTGGGGGGATATGTTGTGTATCTCTATGTGTGTATGCTTCTAGACTGTTTGTAGTCTGAGCACCTCTGCAAAAAGTGATAATGTTGCGAGTGTGGTGGAAAGTGTTGAATGCTGGATGAAAGATTTTCTTTTTGGGGATGTCTTTCTTTTTTTGGGTCACCCCTGCCTCGGTGGGAGGAGGCCGACTTGTTGAAAAAAAAAAAAAAAAAAATTGTAATGGCTATTTTCCTGCAGGTTTTCCAATCAGTGGGGCAATCAACTTGTTAAAGCACCCTGGCAGGTGTTTATTCAGATGGTGGCAGATATGGTTCACCACCCTAACCACTGTCCCCAGGTTGCATTAAATACAAAGGGGCCAATTCAGGTAAAGCTGTTGACTAAACTGTTAGATCACTGTAGTATTTGTAAATTTATATTGTAAATGTTTGGTTATGTGGAGGCAAAAAAATGTTAACTTGGAGGGCCAAAGTTAAGGGAATGTATGAAAGTAATGTACCACACTTTCATGGTATGAAGCTTGGGTTGTAAATGCTGCAAGCGAGGAGGTGGTTGGAGGGAGTGGAGATGTCCTGTCTAAGGGCAATGTGTGGTGTAAATATTATGCAGAAATACGAGTGTGGAAATTTGGAAGAAGGTGTGGAGTTAATAAAAGTATTAGTCAGAGGCTGAAGAGGGTTTGTTCAGGTGGTTTTTGATCATTTAGAGAGAATGGATCAAAGTAGAATGACATGCGAGAGATGTATAAATCTGTATGGAAGGAAGGGCGGCGGTAGGGGTATCCTCGAAAAGGTTGAGGGAGGGGGTAAAGGAGGGTGTTGTGGGCGAGGGTCCTGGACTTCCAGCAAGTGTGTATGAGGTATTGATAGGAGGAATGGAGACAAATGGTATTTGGGACCTGACGGCTGTTGGAGTGTGTCGCAGGGTATTATTTAGTGAAGGGATTCAGGGAAAATGGTTATTTTATATAACCGGACTTGATGTCCTTGGAAATGGGAAGATACAATGCCTGCACTCTAAAGGAGGGGTTTGGGATATTAGCAGTTTGGAGGGATATGGTTGTGTATCTTTATATGTATATGCTTCTAAAACTGTTGTGTTTGAGGCACCTCTGCAAAAAACAGTGATTATGTGTGGAGTGAGGTGAAAGTGTTGAATGATGATGAAAAGTATTTCTTGTTGGGGGAGGATTTTTCTTTCTTTTTGGGTACCTGCCTCGGGGGAGAACGGCCGACTGTTTAAAAAAAAAAAAAAAATTAGTAGATATATGTTTTCTTGAAAAAGTGAGCCCAAATCAGTACAAAATTTGGTTTGCACACTTAATGTTGTATTATTCCCAGTTATTAGTTTTGTGTTAATTTAGGAATGTAGCACTGTACAGATTTGCAAAGGACAATTGTATTCAGTGCAATTGCAGTATGCAACTTGAGTGGATTCAGGTTGAACCTTGGATGATGCAGGATGTGGTAAGTCTTCTAATTACTGTTAATTGTAAATAAATACCTGGGAGTTAGGTCAGTAATTGTATGTTCACATTTCTGGGAAGGACTTAAAAGGAACCTACAGTGGAACCCTGAATTTCGGAACTTTCTTCGTTCCAGGAGGGTGTCTCGAGTGCCGTTACTGAATGGAATTTATCTCCCATAGGAATAACGTAATTTGATTAGTCCATTTCAAGTCCCTCATAAAATACACTTATGAAAGCATTACAAAAATACACTTAATAATTGGTTGGGTTGGGAGTAGTTCGAAATTCGGGGTTGCCACTGTACTGTGGAAATAGGCCACACCTCCTTGTTTTCTTGGGTTATCATGAGTTTCAACCCCCTATGGGAGTTGGACAGTCAAGAATTAACTTTTTTATCCAGCTCCTAGGGAAAGGTTGTAAAAAAATTTATTGCTATATACTCAGTGGAATCCTCAAAAATCGAACTTAATCCGTTCAGGAGCTAGTTCTAAATTCGAAAAGTCTGAATTCGAAGCAGTATGCCATAAGAAATAATGGAAATACAATTATTCCTGTTCCGAACCCTGAAATTATCCACACAATATAATTACATTTTATAGTGGTTAATTACAGTTTTACATACAACAAATATATAGTTATTAAATTATGTTGAGTGTGAGCAAAGTTACATTTATGAAGGGATTCAGGGAACAGCAGGCCGGACTTGGAAGTCTGGAGTGGAAGTACAGTGCCTCTTCACTTGAAGGAGGGGTGTTTAATGGTGGAATGTTTTTAAAAACTGTAGTGTAAAGCACCTTCTGACAAGACAGTGATGGAGTGTAATGATGGTGAAAGTTTTTCTTTTTTGGGTCCACCCTGCTTGGTGGGAATCAGCTATGTGTGTTAATAAACAATTATTAAAAATAATACATATAAAATAACATTTTTACTTACCTTTATTGAAGATTGGTGTGGCATCTGGATGGTAGGGAGGAGGAGAGAGGAGTTGGTGGGGTTAGTGTTTAGAAGGAGAATCCCCCTCCTGAGGATTCAGGTAAGCACTCTCTAGGGTTACTTCCCTTCTCTGTCTTTAATGCCAATAGGTCCAGCTTGAGAGTCACTGGACCCTGTCTCACAAAATAACTGTCCACATCCATCTGGTTTCATGGCACCTCTTTAAACTTTCCATAAAATGGGACATGGTTCTGTCACTGAACTTGGTGCATAGATGGCTTGTTTCATTGTTAGTGTGGAATTCTCACTGTCTAGGTACCACTTAAACCCTGTACAAACTTCTCAGCCGCCCGTTTGTCTGAACTGGCTGCCTCACCATGTCTTAAAAAATTGTGTATGCCACTACGCTTCTTAAATCTGTCAAACCAGGCCTCTTGTGGCATTAAATTCCTATCAGCCACTGGTTCCTGAGTTTTCTGCTACCAGATTGATTGGCATGCAACTTCTTGCCTTTCACAAATACAGTGGACCCCAGCATACCGTTGGCATCACATA